ATCTGCAGAAAGTCCGCTTCCGATCAGTAAAAAAAAATCTCTAATATCATAGAAGCACAGAAAATCAGAATATATTAGTCATCCTACAAGCCGCTTTGACAACATTAAACACATCAAAACAATGAACTGATGCACCTATCAGATTTCAAAATTGCGCACCACTACAAAATATGTGGCCTTCTGCATGCATTTCATACTAAATTTTACCAAATCCTCTAGAAGGTATTCATCAATTCAATCACCCACAATAGCCCAAAATTATACCAACCAAATGAGACCATACCACCACGTGAAAGCTCCAAACCTACTTAGATACAATACACCCTATATGTGATACCCTATGAATGCATTTATTATTCTCACACTGAATACTTCACCATCTTCTAAGCTCAGTTTTCCTCTTTTTTCCCCTTCCCTTTTTTAGAAAAATGAAGAAACTCTATTAAATGGCCAACCTGGAAATCTTAAAGTTTTGAAAAAATGTGTACTCACAGCCAGCCTTCAACTTCCAAACCTCTAAGCAGCATAAGCTACACGGCACTCAATGAAAAATAACATGGACCAGTAAAATAATGCTTGTAATTTAATTGGGGAGCAACAGAAGTGAGCATAAACTATGGCACTTTTCCATATTTAGTGCAGTTCCCTATTCAAACAAATTGCCATATATACAATCTAATGCAGATTTACCTGTTCAAACGGATGTTAGTGAAAAGCTTCCTAGCAGCAGCCCTAGTGAACATCTTAAAACCACACTGTCAAGCATGAAGAATACCATATCAGGATTGACAGCTACATGCCTTAATTAAAACCTAGTAGGCTATCTATGAGAAAAAGCAAAAACTAGTAAACATGTGCGCTGTTCTCAAACTGGAAGAAGAAAAAATACAAGAAAGCACAAAATATATGTAAAAACAGGAGAAAAAGTCATACCTGTGTATCCCGAATCCCGGGACCAGCAGCCAAAAGTACCACAAGATGAAAACCTTTCATCAAAAAATTGCGGTACCACTTCCTCTGAAACATTAACCAACCGAATTAGTTAAAATATTTAAAAAATTATGCATGGTGAGAATTGAAATATACAGATAGCTGCAAGCAGAATAGGCAGGACTTAACTGTAGCCAGGGCTTTCCCCTCAAGATGAGCACGAGAACCAAATGCAGCAATGGGGATATCAGATATTCTAAAACTTGAATTACCAGCAGAAGAGTCCCTAAACTTATCCTGTTCGGCAACTGCATGAATCTGGAATGAAACAAAATATCGTCACGCTTTAGAGTTCCCAAGGTAATATGTAAGAGTTTTGTTAGAATTTCATCAAGACTTGGAAGCAATGTCGGTTGGAAACCTGTTTTATCTAGGATGGTTTGGTACAAACCTGTTTTTCAAGTTTTTCTACGTCATTAACCTTGGTTGCTCCATCAGCATCCAGCATTAGAAGTAGCTCACCACGTGAATGTAGCATTCCCTGTTTTACAATGCTTTCACATACGTAAAAAGCTTCAATCAATTATCGTTATGCGTAAGGGGAAAAAGATGGGCCCTTTAATAACATCCGATATAATTACAAGGGCCTGGTTCAGATTAGACTCACTTTTCTAATAGCTTCTCCCTTCCCATGATTTCTACCAAGAAGGATAATCCTCACATTATCCACACTGTATTTCTTTACAAATTCAAATGCTACTCTTTTTGTCCCATCAACACTTCCATCATCAACAATCACCACCTGTCCACAAGAACATATCTCAAGTAAAGCAAAGGAGCTGAACAAAGAACCAGGCATGTAATGTATCTGTGTTGTGAAGTGTTTACTAATCAGTAACTATTACTACTAAATTTTAGTAATATTGCAGTAGTTACCAATGAAATTTTGAATATCTAGGTACTTGATGGGGGTAAAATTATATGAGTTCATCGTATCATTACGCTATCAATTAGGGTGCCAAGGAAACAGCTGCCAAAATGGATTCAAATGAACCAAGAGAGTACCTCATAAGTAAAAGACTTATCCTTAGCAGCACGTTGTTGAAGATAACTACAGAGTAAGGTTTAAACGTCATTACAATATAATATGATCACTCTATCAAACACCCATCAATATGATCATCAAATGGGAATGGCGCAGGGAAACAAAGGAAAACCGAATCGTGATAGATTTATGAAGTGGAAGTGAAATGCAATTAGCTAAACTTCAACTTACTTCATGGTTTCGTCAAGTGCTCCGGGAAGCCTAAGCTCCTCATTGAATGCAGGGACAATCAAAGATAAATACTTCTCCGCCGGATCAAAAATCGAAGGGCAAGGAACCTAACACAGACACGCCTCTAGAAGATTCAGTATCACATCAAAGACCATTTAACAATTGAAATCGAAAGGGTTGACTTGCAAAACCTTGGAACAAAACCCAAATCCAAAGTTTCCATCAACATCCACAATCCCTAATTGAAGCAAAAACACATGAATTTTGAACCATGAACCAATTGAATGACCGCAATCTAAATGTACCTGTTTCAACGAATTGGGGTCTTCGAAGATCGCGGGAGCTTCAACATGCCTAAGAAAATATAAATTAAATACATCATATTTCAGTCAAAGAAGTAATCTTTTTGCAAGGATTAAGAGGGAGGGAATTAAAAGGGGGATTGCAGAACGTACGCGTTGTTGTTTTTTCTGCGATAAGCTTCGAAGAAGACGGCAGAAATGAAGGCTGTGGCGACGACGAGAATGAGGGAGAGGAGGAGCTCCACCATCGTCCATACAATTACAAACTCCATTGTTGTTGTTGGTTTGAATTTTGCAGGTCCAAAAGTGGGAGACGGTGGCGGCTCTGCTCATTCGTTTCGAGTTTAAAAATGCAGTCCTGCACCAGCAGCCTCTCCGCCAATTTGATGTTTGACCAAAAAAACTTGAAAACAAAACCAATATAGAGAAAATGGGTTAAAGTTCAACAAGCCCGTCTAGCTCAGTTGGTAGAGCGCAAGGCTCTTAACCTTGTGGTCGTGGGTTCGAGCCCCACGGTGGGCGTTTCCAATTTTTTATGTTTCATTTTCCTTGAAGTTCTTATTAAAAGTGAGTGACGATACATTTTTTTGATTATCAAAAGAGGTAAGAGAACGTTTAGTCTAATTGTGTTCGACGAGATTACTCGTCTTTTTTGTTTTTTTGACCATCAGATTAAATTTGATCTAACTCTTGAAGTTCTTATTAAAAGTGAGTGACGATACATTTTTTTGATTATCAAAAGAGGTAAGAGAACGTTTAGTCTAATTGTGTTCGACGAGATTACTCGTCTTTTTTGTTTTTTTGACCATCAGATTAAATTTGATCTAACTCGCATGTGTTTTTACAAGCGCTTTTAACTTCTTGTGATTTTGTGACCTTTGTATCTTGGTCAACTAACTTTTATTTTATCTTTGGGTGGTCTAAATGTCGCATTTTGACTGTAACCTACTCACTGCTCTGGGCCTTTAACTGATTCCTGAACCTTGACTTTAGAAGGCTGTGGACTATCTTTACGAACTAGTTAAGGACTTCTTGGGCCTTTTATATATGAGCTGCTTTCTTCTGTTCCAACAGAAATTAGCATACAAACAAGTAATTACCATTTCTTCTGGTTTTCTTTGCATTTCTGTGTTTGTATAGCAGGCTACTATGTGTATCAACACGAAAAGTCCACATGTTCGTCAAGTTTAGATGTTAAAACCACAAACAATGCACCGGCAATCATTTGACCAACCTATTATAACTTGGTATTCTCTTTTCTTTTCCATACCAGCAATATGGGGATGGTGGCATTGAAGATATGACATCACCGTTCATGCAATAGACGATGATACTATGACGGTAAAACGTACTTTGATATGAGAAAGTTAAAATATATGACCGTGACTTACAATTAGGCCCAAATGATATCTCTAAAATATATAAATAAGTGTTTTTCAGTTGCAATTATGTTTACGTTCTTAACTAAGCTACAAGTCTCTTGGCGTAAGAACTTTTATGTGGATAAAGTATTGCATGTGACACCATATGATATCTTATGCCCTAATTATGAGTCCAACATAGAGGTGGTGTAGAACACTTATTACCCCCACGCATATGTGTTACATATATGTAGCCTTATACATAAAGCAGCTCAATCCAGTAAAGTTGGCAACAATGGAGGGGACAGAGATGTCCACGATTCCTTCGAAAATAAAGGTAGTTGAGAAGATGGGCCTTCTCTCAAGGAATGGTCATGATTAAAGCCACAAGAATAGAAAGTAATTAATTTTAGGGGGAAAAAAAAAGGAGCAAATAGGCGGAGAAATTGGCCCTTCAACCTTCAAACCCTACCCCATTTTTCTTGCTTTTTCCATCGTGCCAAACAGACCTTTTACGAACCATCCTCATCACTCATCACATCATTAACATCACATTCACATCCATGATCATTCATGCACCATACATTGGAACTTATTAATAACTAAATTATTGGTTTTTATTTATTTAGAGGAACATTTTAAGTTTTAACCTCTCAAGAAATTTTTGCCGTAAATATAATAAGATAAAAACAGAACGTTGTTCTAAACCAATGGGCAGGATGTGTGGCTTTGTAGCTTCGATGCTTAGTTCACGGGGGATTAAAATCTGGGGACAATTTACTAAATAGCTGTGTCAAGTTTCAGAATCAGAAATATATATATAATTCAGGTACTAATTATCATGAAAACTCTTCAGCTAATCCTCCATAATTTGAGTAAAACTTACCTGCAATATCTCGTCACATTCTCACTATACGGGATCAGAGATGCAATGGTATAAAATGCGTTGTATGCAAGGTTTTCTCATGTAATTTGAGCTAAAATATGAAATTATAGGACTTGAACTACAAAGATGGACTTGAATTTTTAAATTTTAATATCAATAAAAAACTGTCGCAAAATCTGTCACTTACCTCTGCTGAATTCAGAATTCAGCAACAGCATGTGCCGTATACAGTGAACACCGATATATGAACATATAGGGAAGCTCAATTCACTATAACAGAATTCTTTATTCATACTAAAATACACAATTTGCTTCCAACAAAATTAACGATTTAATATCCTCAACAAATAAACCAATTTCCCCCATCATAATAACAAAACCCAATTAAGCAAATTAACACCCTAATAGAAGATAATAACGTTCATGAAAAAAGAAGTTTAAAATATGAAAATTTTCCTAGTGAGCCATGGCCACAGGATGAGCATTTGCATAGCTAATGGTTCTCTGGTTAGGCATGGCAAGCATAGCAGTGTGATCCAAGAAATCTTGAAGCGCCACCACAGACTGCAAAATTGTTCTGAGATCATCAGCACTTGAGAAACCCAAGTTTCCAACTTGCCTGACTGCATACACATAAAAAGTAATGCACCCTTTTCTGAATTTAAACCTAGCCATCTCACAGCCACTCAGCCCTCTGATGAGCCGCTTGTTCACTTCCCCAAGTGGGATTTCCGGCTGCCAAAGGCGGTCCACGGCGGTCTTCATGGCCTCGGTTTCGAAAACGAACAGAACCACCTTGGACTTCTTGGTGCCAAGGCCTAATGTGAGAGTGTGCCAAGCTTGGTGCGCCAAGATAGTGAAGTTTGTGGGGAGAAAAGCTGTGGTGGAAGGAAAAGGAAGCTTATCTTTGCTGGGTTTGCTGGGTGGGAATGAGAGGAGTTGGAAAAGCTCCAACGGCCTTGCTCGACGGATTGTGAAGGATTTGACGACGAACTGGCCTCCAAAGCGTAGGCCTTTGACTTCAGAGCTTGGCTTGAAGGAAAATTCTGACGCTTTTTTTGTTGTTTGGTCATTTGGATGTTGGTGTTTTTGCTTCTTGGTTTTGTTGTTGATCTTCTTCTCTTTCTCTCCCATGATTTGTTTGTAGAGGAGGAATATCTCGGGTTTTTGGTGGGTGATGCTGGTGGGCTTTTGTTAGTGTATGATAAATATAGTTTTGGATGGTATATTGTATTGGAGTTTTAGTGTTTCTTTTTAGTTTTGCTAATCCAATATTATATAAATGCGATTAGTTTATTTTATTCAATCAACGGAAAAGAATAATAAATGGGTGATGATGCTGCCACTGCTTCTTTAGATTGAGACTCAAGATTTTCTCATGCAACTAAGTTTACTTTCAGCGACATTATTATTTAATAAATGTTTGTCATGTATTTAAAAAGTGTATCGTTCATTCAATACATAGTGAGTTTGTGAAATGAAAGAATCTCCTCTTCATTAGGGGATCGATTATTGGATGACACAGGATAACCAAAATTTGTTTATCACCAGTTGTATACGATTACATGTCTACTTCTCTTATTACTTAAACTTCATATTTTCTCCTATTTGTATCTTTGATTCTTTACATGGAGACCCCTTCTAGAAGGGATGGGTGATGCAGAATAACCATTAGTCAGAAAAAAAAATCTATCATATCACCTATTGGATACAATTACGTGTCTATTTTTCGCATTACTAAATTACATAAAATTGTCATATGGTAATTAGGACATTTTTCTCTAATAATGTACATGATGAGAGAAATGAATATACAATTATAAAAATTGGTGATATATACGACACATTTTCTCCGAAGAAAACATATCCATTGCTTTCTATATATGTTTGATGATGCCACAAGACATTGTACATGTATTATGTAAACGTAAGATGTATAATTTATGTACACATTCTTTACAGTGTTATGTTCATGTAAAGTTGGAATAGGTTATAGGTCAGGTTGGTCCTTGAATTATATAGGGTTTGGCTCACCAAAATAGATGGCATGGATTTTGGCAAGACACCAAACTGATCTACTTAAGATCAGCTGACTTCTCTCTGGTGAACCAAAAGGCAGTTATTCTTTTTCTCCTTTTACTACAATTCAGAAACATAACATGTGCAACTCAATAGAAGATTTTGGGTTTGTAAATGATGATTTACCTTCCTATGTTTCACAAGTGAGAGGAATAGGACCACATTTTTGAGACCCCTTCAATCATAATTGCACCCATTTGCTCAAATTCATTTATCGTCAATCCCTAATTTCAACTACTAATGCAATATGAGATTCACATACATAAATTAACATTTCTTTTTTAATAGGATGTTCGGTTTTTTAATTAAGAACTAACTATTGATATTGTGTTGATAAGACGTCAATAATGAATATATTAGTGTGTTATCGATACAAAAATTCATCATTTAACAAAAAAAAAAGACGATCACCCTGTACAAATAATTTCTACACATAGTAGTTAACAAATACGACAATTTGCTTAAAAACTTCTGTTAGCATGAGAGGAAAGATTTATATTCAATGAAGAATATTTAACATTATGTAGTAGAGAGATAAGGTATGGTTGCCTCATATGTGACTCATATGATGACAACCCAAAAGTCTTCCCATTATATTAAAGTGGTTTCCTTCCAAAGTCACCGTTGCCTTCAATCAATTCATGAGAAATATATGCTAGACTAGAGCTTATGAGAGGACCAACTAAAACAAACAATTCTTACAAGATATTCCGACAGGCAATAAGGGGGCCTAGCAAAATTTCTTTTGATAGGTTTGTCATTTTGAAGCACTACAAAGAGTACAATACGTGTATAAAATATTTATAAAAATGAAACTCAGAAGTTAAATGGGAGTCTATCTGTCAATGGTGCATCCACCTTTTTCAAACAAAAGAAAAAGATAAAGAGATATCATATAAGAATGGATGTCGAGGTAGTGATGATTTCCACTCCCGTTTTTCTTTCTCACTTCGTCTTAAGGCAAAACTATGGAACGGAATGATAGTGATATGATTTGGTAAGTGAATATTGAGATTTCATGGGTTGAAGATGATTCTTCAATACATGTAACCAAAGTATAGATATACACGATTCGTCTTAATTATTATTCTACTAATATAAGTTTAATGATAGAGCACTTACTCACAACATGATAAAAACTCAACTCTTATCCTCTCTTGGAGTGACGTATAAAGGAACATTATAACCGGAAAAAAAATGTATAAGAAATATAACAAAAATAGAAATACTACGTCCAAATATGCACATAAGTGCATGATACTTCCTACCGTGATCAAATTACTTTGCATAGATCGAAACCTACCGATTTGATATATGCAGTATTTATGTTCTCTTTTTCCAAATTAATGTATGTGAAGAAACATTACATGCTTTTCTTTTTCTTTTTTTTTTCTTTTTTTGAGTAAAGAAACATTACTTGTTATATACATAAGATTGTGTACTGGATATCCTCATAATTTTCTTTTATTTATTGAGTTGGTAAATTGATTGCAAGAGTACCAGCTATGAATATATATCCTGTGGAAGAAAAATGATGAGAGGCATGCAGTTTACAATCCTAACAAAGTCATCTCAGATTAATTGAGATCGACTTACCAAAGAAGCATTTTATGTCTATAATTGCTTAAAACACAAGAAACCAACATATAATAATAACAATCAATCCAGAAAACAACTGGCCACTTACATAGAAACTATTCCTGATGATGCCAAGTACAATACAGCATGAAAATTAGTCTGCAACCGTTAATCCAGTTTAGGATTAGATTTCCATCATTCGATGGCACTCTTCGACGTCGACAACATGGAGAAGAAACTTGAAAGCAATAAATCATTCAAGGGAAATTAGTGAATGAATTTGTATGATCCATATAAGTACATTATACAGAGACAGAACTGTAGGCTGCAGGTTGGATGTTGTTATCACGGGGCCCTTGGTTTGTAAGCAATATATTATAAGGAAAACTAATGAAAATGGCTTGAAAACTTTGAGTTTTAATGATAAGGACAAAATAAAGGGTAAAGTGAATAGTACCATGATTGACTTTTTAGTGTAAAAATGTGGTTTTTCATTAAAGTAAACAGTACCGGGTGCTTTTCGTTAAAGTTCCCTATATTATATGCTTTCACGCACTATTTACTTTCATTTATCGCATGGTGATTCAAACTTGAGATTTTTTTCCGACATCCTACTTCCTATCATTCACAAGTAAGTGATATTTTCTTTTAGTGTCCATTGGTCTAAATGTTGTCAAAGCCCAAAGACAACTCTTGTACCAATAGTCTCGGCCGGGCAAGACCTGCTTAATTCTCAAGAATGGCATTTGAGAACTGGATTTGGCACAGCCCAAAATGTGTTTTGTTGCTTTTAAGATTTTTTTTTCTTTTCTTTTAGCGAAGTTGCTTTTAAGTTTAAGTTGTTAATTTTTTAGGCAGATTTGTAAGAACTAATTCTTGATTGCTTTATGTTCATTCTTTTCCAATCATAAGTACGGAAAGAAAGACCAGAACTTGAGTGTAGAGATGAAACATTCTATTTAGCCAATTTGACTACGTTAGGGTTTGAAATTTGAAACAAATACAAATAATTTCCCATTTTTTCACTCTTTTTTTTTTGTCCAAAAATTTTGTTTCCGACAATTACAATAAGAAAGATCTCAAATTAATAGAGCCTCTCAAATTGTTTTGTAATATAAAATTAAAGAATAAGTTACATTTTATCATCTTAACTTAGAGTCGCATAACAAATTAATAAGTTATTTATAAACATTACAATATTATACATCAACTTACGAATTCGTTGCAATATCCGACTTCGTTCAATTTTTATCAATTTGATTGTTAAATAATGGTGTAGGACGTGGAGCCCACTCTCTTGCTCAATTTGATTAAAAAATTAATTAAGTATTAATAAATTAAGATTATTTTATCTGAACAAAAATAAAATTAATTAAAAATAAACTCTTTCCCTCTTCCCTCTCTCCCCGCTTCTCTTCTCCCCATATCACACCAGGAAAAATAGAGGCAGTGTCAGTGACTGGGCCCTCTGTTTTTAAATTAAATTGTATATTATTTTATCAATATTTAATTAATTTTTCAATTCACCTAGTTGAAGGAGTCACATGAGCAGTTAACAATTAATTTAACGCATATGGAATAGATATTGCAACGAATTCGTAAATTGATATATGATATTGTAATGTTGAAAAGATGAGGTATGAATTTGTAATGTGACTCAAAATCAAGATGGTAAAGTATAATTAACTAAAAATTAAATCATATACTAATTAATTTCCATACGCATCATAGTCACCAACATTCCCAAAAATTAAAAAATTTGAAATAAAAAAAATAATGGTCCAACACCATTTCTTCTGTTCCTCAAATCATCTCCTCAAGCTCAAGCGTTGTATTTACTGCTTTTTGCCTCCTGCTGCGGGTGTTGCCGGCTTTGCTAGTGTTGATTTTGCTGATCCAGCGGGCTTTCCCTCTTTCCCGCGTTTAGGTGCAGCTGGTGTAGTTGGTCCAGTTGGTGTAGAAGGTCGTGTTGGAATTTGCATTGTTGGTCCAGGAGTTGCACCACCCTAAATCATGCAACAATTTAGTATACATAGGACAATATCATTCTAGCAATAACAATAATACAATATATGAGTTAGGTCAGTGTGTTATGACAATATATTTGTCATATTGCACTCAAAAGTTCAAAAAAAAAATTTGTAATTGAGTGTAAATTGAAATATCGATTAAAATACATCTTCTTAAATTGATACGATGAGAATTCTATTTGGTTAATTTGTACCCTAACAAAGAACATGAAGTAACTAATAAAATTATACGTTTGCATCAAATGCCAATTCACTTTCTAAAATTTTTATGTAATTACATGGATATCCACAAATACTGTTCAACAAATAATGTTTAGTACCGATGCGTTTTATTTGTTTCTTATTTTGACTCATTATGAAACATAATTATCTGAGAAATGTTAATGGGAATTTTTCAAAAGTGAGACTTTACATTTACTCTCTACCACCACATGTTTTTGGTACGATATTTTATAATGTTAACAAGAAAATTAACGTTAAACTATGAAGTAATGCTAGGAAGACTAAATTTTATAAATTAAATGACATAGAAGTTGATTATTTGATTATTACTTAATCGTTG